GAAATAATGTTTGAATTAAACATGACAAAACATTAAAGCCCACCTCCTTTTAAATGTTTTGTTATATGTATATGACGGTGGATTAGATTGCAATGCAATTACGTTAACGGATTTGTGAGAATTTTTTTTGAGAGACGGGACACAATGTTAATCATAAATAAGCTGTTAGATATCAAGTATGACTAAGTATGACGGACTCTGATATCAAGTATGACTAAGTATGACGGGGTCTGATATCAAGTATCACTAAGTATTACGGACTCTGATATCAAGTATCACTAAGTATTACGGACTCTGATATCAAGTATCACTAAGTATGACGAACTCTGATATCAAGTATCACTAAGTATGGCGGACTCTGATATCAAGTATCACTAAGTATGTCGGACTCTGATATCAAGTATCACTAAGTATGACGAACTCTGATATCAAGTACCACTAAGTATGACGGACTCTGATATCAAGTATAAATAAGTATGACGGACTCTGATATCAAGTATGACTAAGTGTGACGGACTCTGATATCAAGTATCACTAAGCATGACGGACTCTGATATCAAGTATCTCTAAGTATGACGGACTCTGATATCAAGTACCACTAAGTATGACGGACTCTGATATCAAGTATTACTAAGTATGACGGACTCGGATATCAAGTATTACTAAGTATGACGGACTCTGATATCAAGTATAAATAAGTATGACGGACTCTGATATCAAGTATTACTAAGTATGACGGACTCGGATATCAAGTATTACTAAGTATGACGGACTCGGATATCAAGTATTACTAAGTATGACGGACTCGGATATCAAGTATTACTAAGTATGACGGACTATGATATCTGACAAAACATTAAAGCCCACCTCCTTTTAAATGTTTTGTTATATGTATATGACGGTGGATTAGATTGCAATGCAATTACGTTAACGGATTTGTGAGAATTTTTTTTGAGAGACGGGACACAATGTTAATCATAAATAAGCTGTTAGATATCAAGTATGACTAAGTATGACGGACTCTGATAGCAAGTATCACTAAGTATGACGTGGGTCTGATATCAAGTATCACTAAGTATGGCGGACTCTGATATCAAGTATCACTAAGTATGGCGGACTCTGATATCAAGTATCTCTAAGTATGACGGACTCTGATATCAAGTATAAATAAGTATGACGGACTCTGATATCAAGTATAAATAAGTATGACGGACTCTGATATCAAGTATCACTAAGGATGACGGACTCTGATATCAAGTATCACTAAGCATGACGGACTCTGATATCAAGTATCTCTAAGTATGACGGACTCTGATATCAAGTATTACTAAGTATGACGGACTATGATATCAAGTATCACTAAGTATAACGGAAAGTGTCTACATGATTTCGTAGAAATTGTATAGCGTTACTTTCAATGGACTCCGTGCGATAATCTGTCGATATCAGTGCAATGATACACACACCGAAACTCTAAGCACGTTTGAATTTTTCGAGACAAACAGAAGAGCACAAAACGGATAAATATATTAACAAAAAGAAAGAAAACACAAACAGTGAAAGTTAGCCCAACTAAATTAAGAACCAAGTGCAATAAAAAGAAAATAACACCAAACTCGGAAAAAATCTGGTTCACTTAAATCGTATAATGACATGCTGATCAACAACACAAATAAAGGAATACAAAATGAAGGTTTAGAGTTTAAAGAATTATACAGCCTTCGTGGCCCGTATCGGGCACGTTCGTCAGAAAATCATATATTGGGTATACAGAGACGATACCCGACAATTTACAGAATTGAGACTCAATACACGATCTGTATCGCGAATCGCAATAGTCGTACCCAGGATAGCCTTATCGATGAATGCCAACCCCCACAAACATTTTATAACGGAATCGTACGATGTTTACTGTAATTAGCGTACTTAAAGTATGTTATACGAATTCACGTGCCTCGGCATTAACGTCGAACTGTAGACTCAGATGTGCAAAGCTTCCTCAACTTACCCTCCCATTTATAAGTGTTATTTTATGTATCATATTTATTTTCAGGAGTGTTTCCACAGATCTACAAGTCCTGTTGTTTACATTTTCAAATAGAAAATATTATAAATGTCGAAACAAGAATGTTTCATTTTTGGATTTATTTTTATTATTCAAAATACTGAAATTTAAAAGCGTCTTTGAAAATTCGACAAGTTGACTAAACTTGCTAAAACTGAGATTTTGGAACCGTTAGTTCAAGACCAACCATTACAGCTACGGTTGATTTCTACTGGAGACAAACAATAAAGGTAGGAAGTTGTTGATGGAACTGGTTTTCCCTAATGAGGAAACGTCTTGTCAAAGCTTTTATACACTGCATCGGGTATAGCATCACCTGATCTTAAGGTTCCTCACGGTTATATTGTAACTCCGCACGCGACACGTATACGTCACAGGGACCAGGGAATCCGGACCTAAACTAAGGTGTTCAGGGCAATTTTTATACGTTTTAGGGGTTTATTTCGACTTTCACTAAACATGCCACCCCAAATGTGATGTATATACCGAAATAATATCTAAAACCCTAAACGTGTAAAATTACTCTGCACACGTTTAGTTTAGGTCCATATATAGATTTTACAAATTTGCATCTCCCTGTGCTATACCTGTCTCATAGGAGGTCGGATATATAAATACAAAAATACAAAATGTAAACGGGCTTCGTTAGTTCTGTAACTACTTACATGTACACTATTTTTGTTCGACAGTATATCTATATTATATAGTTCCAACGATACGATCCAATATGTATGCAACAGAGACGTTCAAAGTCAAGTACGAATGTATATGCAGGGAGAAATATTTCAAAAACAAAAGCGACAACAACATCAACAAAAAATAACAAAAACAGTAAATAATATCGATCGTTTAGACATGTATATATATATACATATGTATGGGTCAAAGAAGTAATAGGACCCCCTGCTGTGACTAAGATCCATCGCAGTATTGAGAGGCGACTAATAAGACATTCCGTTGCAGATTGGAGATTTTTCACATTTACCGGGCCAGATTTTCAAATGCACATGTTCCACGTTTTTGATATCTCTCGTTGACTCACTTTATATGACAGTGCATCTTGCGCAAGAATAGGTCCTCTACATCAGCGTTCCTTGTCCGCGATGCTCTCAGCTTAATTGCTGCCTTCGGCTGTCTTTAGCCAAGGGGACTATTGGTTTTATATAATAGCTATATTTTCAATTATAGTATATCAATTCTATCTTCTTGTAATATGATGTATATGTACATGTAACTGTTCTGTTTCATTGTGTCTTGAAAAAGGAGCGGATCGCTCCGAAAATTTGACGACCTAAACTTGTCCACACTGTTGGAATTACTTCTTTGCCCCATATACATATGTATGTATATAATGTATAAAGTCACAGTGTAGCTGTCAGCCTTTACGTTCCGTGTGATAACCGCTACGATAGTAATCCTTGGTTGTATAACGTAACCTTGTTGTCTGTGATAAACAGCTTCACCACTCTTACCTATTATAACGTTTCGGCATGTAACTTGATCAACTGTTAATAAACCCTATCCTCAATTATTAATTTATTTACAACCTAGGTCTGGTAACAACAGGGAAAAATAGCACTTTGGCATAGAAATTGAGAAACCGGTAAGTACCCCCTTCCCCATGTATCTATCTGTTAATTTATTTATTTGACTTTTTTATTGCCCTTTGTTTGGTAACAAAAAGGAAAACACTTTGAATTATAAATTGAGCAACTGGTAAGTAGATGTAATCTTCTCCTCTTTTATTTATTTATTGTCCTTCTTTTAGCAGCATTCATGAATTAGTTATAACCTTGCATAAACAGGATTTGCAAATAGTTATCTCCCCTTTCTACCAATACTTTTAAAATTGGTAAGGTTGATCCTTTCACTCTGACTTTGAAATATCTGAAACTTAGCCAGACATGCAGTGTAGAGCCGATATTGAATTAACCTGTCCGTGGTTACCAACCCCTCCCATTGATAAATGTATATCCCTTAGATGTTTTTTTTATCATCCACTTGAAGAAGGCTTGTGGGTGAGGAACTGTAGCACAGAAACCTATTGCTCGCTCCCATCATTTTATAGCAATTTTTGCCACATATTAATCAAACAATGCTATTAAAAAAAACCTCTCCATTATCAAATTAATGCAAATCCTTAAAATGTATAATGTTAGAGAGTTATAAAATTAGAAAAATGTATTTATATTCACCATCCAAGAGGCGTATATTATAGGTCAATGTATTGTGGTGTTTAATAACTGTAATGTGTTAAATCAAGTATTGTTATATTTACATTGTTGTATACTATTATGTCACTCTCCTGTCCATTCTAAATATGTTCCCAGAGAATGGTATTATATGTATCTATATAATAATGTACCAATAAGTCTGGCTGGCTGAATAGGAATCCCGGCTTGATCCCACATTGGACACAATAGAACATAATGGAGAAACTAATAATGTTAAACTTACATGTAAGACTGAAGATACAAGAAATTGTATTTAACGTCGCATACAGGTAAACAAGGAACATTAGCTCTTGAGAGCTATTATTGCGACAAACATACGCAAAATAATAATAACACATTATATTACAAGTAAAAGGGAGATAAGCATATCTATTAATAAAAAGCAGTAAAAAATATCAGAGAAAAAGAAAGTATCATATCCGAGGTTTCTAAGTGATTGGGAATCCCCTTCCTGCAATGGCCCCCGGATATGACCCTTTTGAAACAATAAATATATCAAAATAGCATTAAATGTGATCACACATAAGTAGTAATTTATAATTACAGAGCTTACATACCTGTATAAACATGTGATGTCCATACCCGAACTTTCATTTATGTGTACATGTGTGTATATTATATTTTTATTTTTTATTTTAGTCCGGTGAGGGGATCCTACAGATCCTGTATCGGAAAATAAACTGAAATATTAAAATACTCACATTATCTTCTGTGTATCCTGCCACTCATCTGTATTCTATAACACACACTATAGGGTGACCATGCTCACGTATCGCTCATATCCTATAATTTAAACACGACTAGATGTTAAACTCCATACCGTTCCCCCTGGGTAGGGCACCCATACAGGTAAGCTGTAGTGTGGTGTACGTGTTTACAGAGGTGTACAGGTACCCGTCCCAATATCAACACTATACCTGGTATAGCCCGCTAACACTAAACAGACGGAATATTGTATTAGCGAGGCTTTACACAGAGCATGAGTCATAATCGGACTGGATTTAAATGGTTTACTTAATTCTGTAAATGGATGCATGTATTATGTAAACCCCGTTAAGGTGTGTATTGATTCTTGGTGGGATTACAATGGGTGGGTACGATAGAACCGTGACGTATTACAACGGTCTAAATATTTCTATAATATCGTATAGAATCTTAATAATTGACCGCTATTATATATAAGATCCTACATGAGTTTTCATTTCACATGAGATATATGAAACGAGATTTTTTCAATTTAGCGAGTCTCTGCGGGCGAGCCTAGCTCTGGCGAGCTAAAATAAAAAATTCGTGATGAGTTTCATAAATTTCATATAAAAAGAAAACGAGTATAAGATTCTTTTTATCACATAATCAAGATTTGTGGCATTAATTCGTGTAAAACGACAATTTTCATGCAACCTTGAAATGTAAAAAGCCGCCATTTTGACTCCAGTGCGTAAGTCTGTGACATCATGTAATATTGTTCTATGCGTGACGTCACAATTGAAATTTACATCCAATCACAGGGTTGATAGGTCATATTACATGGGTCATTACGCAAAAACAAATATGACATGGGTATATTTACTGGATAACACAGTACATTGTGTGATAGAGTGTAATTATGAATAAAAAGCTTCTCTCAATTTGATGTGTTGAGCAGATCAAGAGACGATTATGACGTCATAATTAGGTAAATAGACATGACGTAACAAATTATTCTTTCATTGTCCTTTCCTTGGAAACTGTTCTCTGATACTGGTCACAACTCGGGAGATTCCGTGCATACCGGAAACAGCCGAGGTTAGCCGATTGGTGTTCTCTGAAAATGGCGTATTGGGAAGAATATAACCCGAACCACCAAAAAAAGACCAGATTCCTTTCCTGACAACACTATATTATTGACCTGTTTCAAAGGGAAGTAGCCATAACACATTTAGTACGTCGCTCCTCATTGGGTGATTAAGTGGAATTTATTAAATACAAATTATCGCCAATCTAAAACAAAATCTTCAGTATGGTAAGTAAGAATTGTATAGAGGTTCATGAAGCAAAAGAGATGAAGGATATACATTCATATGAGTACTCTGTAATCCTTGTATTATGTATATCATTTGTATTACTGCAATATAATATTGACAATAACATAAAGTTTAAACTAAAACAAAATTGAGCGTTTTACGTGTGACACTCGAGGACTAGTACGACGTATACTCTGTTGCCTTCATCAGACAAAACACAAAAGAAACGCATGTACAATAATGGGCCAATAAATTAACATGTGACGTTCTAATTCAGAGTGGTGACGTTTATTTTTTTTATGATACATGGCATTTGTGACATATTAATTTAATCACTTTATTTTATTATTTTTAATAAATGTGTTGGTTCATTTGGGGAAAATAAAATAAAAGTACCTGACATGTAGGTCGATACAACCTCTACGAACTTTTCTTCATGCTAAGAGAAGCCTAACCTACTGCAAAGAAGAAACTGCTGACTCATTAAAGCCGTAAAAGAGGCGGGAAGCTCGCGCGTTTTCTGACGTGTTTTAACTCAAGGATGCCTACAGCTGGGACCGAATAAAGTCACATTTTTCGGAGCAGTCCGCTCCTTTTTCATTGCAATCAAGAGACAGACATGGGCTAACTATACATTACATTTTTTTTCTTTCTTTTCTTGTTTGGTTTTAAGCGAGTTTTCGAAACATAATGTTAGTATGTTCACAACGAATGAAAACCGGTAATCCTATGGAAAAGTGGACAAGTTGTCCGAAGATAACAAAGCTTGTTAAAATCCGTATCGTCCACGGTTTTATACAAGTAAGGACGTCAAATGTTTGAACTAGGTTTGAGGCATTCAAGAACTGTTTTAAGTTAAAATCTAGAGTAAACTACACAGAAAATGAGCAACTGTTTTCTGGTTGAATAAAAACTATCATCTCCGACAACAACTACCAAAGGACCAGCGAGAGAAATGTGTACACGTTTTGCTGACGACAACAACAGAAAGTACTTAAGACATCGTATGAACTGTGGAGAACATGTGGACGATCTGTCCGCAGTACACGATGTATTTGGAGTAAGATCGATAGCTAGTACAACTTACAGAGGTTATCTCCCTTCAACCACAGATGGCAAAATGATAACTATGGAGATAAAATCCGCGAAAATTAACTCGATCAACATGTCCGAATCGCGAAAATTGAATAAATGTAAATTAAAACTATTCAATTTTGAGTAAAACTCAAAAACATCTCAGTCCACGTTAACAACTCGCTATACGTTCTTACAACGTACATACTTACAATGTATACTTGTAATACTGAGGTTTATAGAAGATATTCCTTGTGATGGTTGTCCCTGATACTTGAGAACACTATACACAAGCTTAATTTATTACCCAACTTAAACGGATATTTATAGAAATTACCAAGATATCAATACATCTGTTACAGTATAGACCTTCACTACATAGTCACAATTCTGTGTCATGTAATTTTGTACTCGCAGCTCCCTACACAGGGCAGGTCTAGACATGACCGTATCAATCAGCTGATAGTCGACGCTGTGCTCGAGAATACTAACGGAGTGCATTAGCGCGTGCATCAATCTAATTTCGGAAATCAAAACAGTATCAAACAGACAGAAACTAAATGAAATATTATTGTCTAAGATTCATCGATTATCTTTTATAATTAATTAACGCTGAAGCGTGTGCATGTATATGTTGTGATGTGGTTGAGTGCTTGAGAGCTGTCCCACAGGGACCTGTGAATTTATTACAGCTATATTTGGACCTAAACTAAGGTGTTCAGAATAATTTTACATGTTTTAGGGGTTTAGATCGACTTGCGGTAAAATGACACCCCAATGATCCTATCTCTGAACACCTTAGTTTAGGTCCAAATAAAGCTGTAATAAATACGCAGGTCCCTATGAGCTCTCCTATAGGCGAGGACACCAACTGTGCGGAAGCCAATTAAACCTCTGGTTTCCTACCTTGGCCGTTATGCACAAGCTGGCCTGGAAAATAAAACTATGATANGTAGCATCTAAGTGGACACACGGCTAGGCAGGCCAGTTGTTGTAGCATCAAAGTGGACACACGGCCAGGCAGGCCAGTTGTTGTAGCATCTAAGTAGACACACGACANGACGTAATTTTCTCACCCAAACAAATGACGTAACAATCAATACCTGCTCACAAGAGAAGATAACTCTGCAATACGCAAAGACGGAATACCCAATGACGAATGAGTCTTCAGATTCCGTTGAACGGCAATTAGCCCCATAGTTACTATGTTATTCAGACATATTGTATTCAATTTGCATGTCTTTTAAATGATAATATGGTTTGATACCTGCCTATGAAATAGAGAGGTGTCATAACATGCTTTCGATTTTCGGCAACTTCAGGTCATAAAATGGTGCATTCGGGTGAAATAAAATTGTTACGGTCGGAGGTTAAACTCTATGGTCGGTCGGTGTACCAAAAAAATACATTTTTTGTATTGGTCTTATCCATCCTGTATCTAAAAATACTTGGCGCATTGTATACACCGGCATTTTCTCCTAACGACCACTTTAGCACTCGTACGACGAACCGGCAGTACTGTATCATAAGTAGTGTACCGGAAATACTGTACCGGAAGTACTGTACCGGAACTACCTGCTTCCTGAAACCGGACCGTTATAACACAGTGGCATGAATTCTGTGCTCCAGACATTTTTTAGTTACTCGCTAAAATCATGTAACATGGTCCAAGGGTTTTAGTATGGCTCGACAATTCTTCCATATTATTTAAAAATGAACAGGAGAACGGTTCAATGAATACTGGCCCTGGTCGCCGAAGTTGTGTTTCGAGGGATCACGTGGATTTGGAATGACGAATATGATTGTATATTTTCTTGCTGTGATGAAACTCACTGATACTTAAGCGCTACAATATCAAACTTAAAACGAATTTGTTTAAAAGAAAAAGATGCTTTTAATTTTCTAGTAAATTTATTTTACAATTTACCTCCCAGACATATCCAAACCGCATGCGAACTGTCTCCTTCTCCAGTCCAAGATTAATATGTTCATTTCGTCTCAGTCTGTTGTTAATTCATTTTTTTCAAATGTACATTTTTATTATCATTAATTAAGCATTCAACCTCTGACAATATTCTTTGTGATGACAATTTGTTTTTGCTGTGGTTCTTTTCAGGAACAATTGTGAATATTCGAAATAAAAAGTAATCACATAAAAACATACTTCATATTTGATTTTGCCAGTGTTTATCTAATTTAATTCAAATTGTCTAACTGTACTTGAATTCACAAGATTTTTTCCATTACTCAACAGCTCTATGTGTAAACGAAAGTTTCCTAACATTTAATCTTGAAAGCAACTTGTAGATTCTAAAGTTGTGTCGGTGTATATGAACTTTCCCTGTCTGACACTTCAAAGTCATATTTCCGGGACAATATTTTGTAAATCTCTATCATGTCTCATTTAATATATGCAACCCATTTCAATATCGTCACCATTTATTGTCAATCGGAACTCCTCGGTCTTTTCTACGAAAAAAACTTTTCGGTCCCGGAAATGGCCGAGTGGTTACGATTGCAATTATTGTAAGTCCTAAGGAGATACATGTAACTTCCTCTTTCAAACAGAATGTGGACTAGGGACTCGAATCCTAACACGTCCGGAAACTGGGGCCGTCAATCAGATGGTTCCCTCGACGATGTCCGGAGCTACTTCCGTTGGTAGGGGGCGTTGGCCAGACTAACGCATAATAAAAACGGAACCATTATCACGGTTTGCAATCAGTCAATTAAAATTTATTTCAATGTCGTAACAACAACGATCTACGCAACCTAAACGACGACGCTCTCACTATTATCTTCGATATTGATTCAAGCATATATACAGTGTATCGCGA